AGCATAACAATGCTAAATAAAAAAGAGCCCATATTCTTAGAAGGAATAAAAAAAACTATAAAAATCTTACTGTTCAAGAGTTGTTTTGAATTCGCAAAATGTTGATTTTTAACATATTAAAATTATTTTTTTCACTGACAAATTATTAAAATAATGCAAAAATAAAATATTCGCTTACATCTGTAAAAGTTAATGAGAATTACATATTGCAATACTCCATAATATAAGCTCTACTAATTTTTTGACAGTTTAAAAATAATTTAACACAATTCCATATTTATGCTATTTTAAACAAATATTCTTCTTTAAGTATGACATTGTGACATAAAGAGCTTAATGTTTGAAAAGGTTGTTAAAGTTAAATTTTCTTAAAGTTTTTTTTTATTAAAAAAAGCAGAATTTTATAAAATGGAGAATTACTGTAAATTACTTAATGACACACATACTGAACTTACAAATATAGTTTTAAGTTGCTCTATATACACAATTTCAATTTCTACACAGTCTACAATAGTTTTAAAAAAGAATTTTTAGGAATGACATGTTACAAGACAAATAATTTTCATGATTTCATATATGCATTGCAGGCTTATAAAAATTATTTATCAAATATGTTACAGCAATGCGTATTTGTATATATTAATAAACACCCTGAAATTTGTACACACAAAAGGCTATTTCCTGAAAGTATGAGAAATGAAAAACAGCATATTTTGTACAGGCGATAAAATAAATTTACAGTGGGCGAACTTAAGTTACACTTGTTAATACTACATTATTTTAGAATTCCTAGACAAGCGCTCATAATGCAGTAACTCCAAATTTGCGACATTAGATATTTGTGTACATAAAAAGATAAATAAAATAATAATTATCTTTCATATTGTAATCATTACGAAATTGTGGTTAACTAGCAGTACCTCAAATTTATTTTAAATAGGTGCCAAAAGGATTCATACTACTTATAAAGCAAAACTATTTTATAACAGAAATTAATCAGCTATTGAAAACTTAAATGTGGAATTTTACACACAGTTTAGAGACAGCATTACTAAATGTGAATCATTTTAATATTTTATTTACACACCAATGGCTAAAACAAATTGTGAGTTTTCAATCTGCTGGTTTAATAATGTTGTCAGGAGAATTTAAATTAATTTTAGATTTAATTAGTGGCAAACTAATAGTAAATAAATTAAATTAAATATATTGCAGTATGTTTTTACACTGCTGTGTTTTAAAGTAACAAATTGTTTTTTCAATTTGTTGCAAAAATTGCATTTCAAGTCCATAAAAATTATTTCCTTGAACTTAAGAGATCAGTTAAGTTAAAAAAAAAATGCTGAAAATAGAAAACCTAAAACATTATACACAAAACACTTTTTAAATAATTGAAAAAATATCTGAAATTTGAGCAAGAAAAAAGTAAGGGTAAGAAGCATATCCTGCATTTTAATAAAAAAATATCAAATTTTTAAGAAAAAATTGTTTGATTTTAAATTTTGAGAATGTAATTTGCATAGGAAGGAAAAAGTGTAATAATGAATTTTTTTTTCGATTCAAAAAGTAGAACTTCCTTTTAGAAAAAGCAGAATGTCTCTTTTTATTAAATTAAGAAGCGGAATTCCGCTAAGAAAAAAAAAAAGCAGAAAAACCTATCCTTAAAACTTTTACTTATTAAATTACTTATAAATATTATTTCCTCAGAAATTTTACTACATTGTTGTATTTTAAAATTATAGAAATGATTTAGTAAAACAAGAAGTTCTTGGGCACTATTTTTGTAGTTAAACTCACTATTTTAAAAATTAAAAATGAGTAAACGTATGGAATAAAGAAAAAAATTTTTTTTTTCCATTCTTAAGAAATCTTAGTTTAGAAATTACATAAAAATGAATGGCTACTGAGATAATTTGGAAAGTTAACAGTTCCGTAAACAGGATAAAAATCTGTCATATTTACCATGGTCCAGCAGGTTGACAGAAGTAAATTTGTTTGAGACAACAGGTTGCAAATACAAAACATAAAAATGAACATTCGAATGCCGTCTCTCAGACTAATTATAGCAAGTACCAAATTATTAGGGATATTCCTTATACCGATTTATCAGTACACACACACACCCAAAATCTCAACCGCACACAAGCTAATGCTAAATTGCACTATTTTTCAGTTATAAAAAAGAAAATACAAACATTTTACCACTTAAAAATTAGCATTTATGCAATTAATATAATTGCACAATGGCTTGACTTTTAAAATTTCATGCAACACAATTTCTTTTGTTGATAAAAAAAATTGAGTAAATAAAATAAATTGATAATTTATATCTTTTCGATTGAAAAAAAAAAAAACTGAACAGAACTTAAAATGGTTAATGATGGTATATCACAGACCTTGTGCATATTAATAAAAGTGTATCATGTAACATATATACAAGTGAATAATGTAGTAAAAATACCAGTATTAATTTGGGTTAAAATGAAATGATACTTTACACGAGGATTACTACAGGGAAGCGAATGAGACGAAGAAACTATAGATTTCATGCTTAGAGCAAAGTATAAAGGCTGTTGTGACAGGTAGACTAATAGATTAAAAAAGCTGTTATTGAGGTAGCATTCCCTGATTGATAATAAAATAGCTGTTCCCAATTTAAGTATTATTGTATGAATAAAATATAGGTTTTTGTAAGTACAAATATTTGTAAACATTAATTGATATCGTTTTAATATTTCTTTTTTGCAAATATGAAATCAACATGTTATAAATGAGACAGTATAATAAAGTAAAAGTTTATAACACAATTTAGCTTAGAGATCCCTAATAAGCAATATTTTTTTTCCAGAGGTGCCAAGATCGGACATATAAATTAAAATACACTTAAGACCTACCAAAGGAAATTTATTTCAGCCAGCTGTTTTCAAAAACTATTTTTGCAAGAACTTTACTAGAAGTTTTCCTCGGTAATTACAAGGACCTTATAAAAAAATTCTATTACTTAGACATGATACATTGAATATATCAAAACTTGCCGTTCTGTACGAAATTTAAAAGAGAATTTATTTGTACAGATTGGCCACTTCAACGTTTTTTAAAATGCATACAGCTTGAAGTTTAAATTAAAATATTTCATCTAACATTAGAAAACATGACATACAAAAAAAATTAAGTAATTCTAGAGAGATACTTTAAATGTATTTTTTGTAAAATTAATTTATAGTATTGATTAAAACTTAATCATCAAAAACTGCCGTGTTTGGCACCTCTGTGTTACGCAGAAAGCCACATAATGGAATAGAGCATGAAACGAAGTTCTGCTTTAAAACCAACAATAAAAGTAATTTATATACAACTATCTCAGAAAAAATAGAGAAGGTCTAATAAGATAGATACAACACACAAAGCATTTAAGACTTTAAATGGCTAACTTTACATATGTTAAATTTGAAGTTCGTAACTGCATTAAAGATATTTGCTTTTAAATAAAGATTGTTATTAGTTTTCTAGTAATTTTGCAGGCGATATACAAAATTTTAATGATCTAATACTTTAAGGGGTAGAATAAAAAGAGCGTGTAACTATTTAGGTTATAAAATAACAAAAGAAGCAGCAATTAATTGAACTAACAATTTATGAGTGCATAGTTTTTTTAAACATAATTAAAGGGAAAAATTTGCAAAATAAACAAAATGATTGATCAGTTACCGTATCAATTCAGAGTATTACAGAATCAATAATTATTTGCTTGAATTTTGACGGGAAAGTTTTTAAATATCAGCAAAAGCATTTTATATCTACATAGGCACGCATTATTTTAGAGGGCCATGCTCTCAAATACATAGATATCAAAAGAATGAAAAGGAAAAATAACAAAAATACTACACGGAAGATTTTTTCCCTATACAAGTTTTACAAGATAATACTGAAATACAAATTTAAATTGCAAAACTTCTCTTTGCACTTCAAGTACCTAATATAAAGTCAAATATACATCGTAAAAATGTGTGACAACACATTTTGTTTTTTAAATAGTTTCTTTTTATTCAAAATTAATTTTCTATAGACAGATAATGAAGTTTCAAAAAATGAATATTGTCTAAACCATAATGGTCACCTAGTATTTCTAAATATTTAATATCTTACAAATAGCTTTTCGCTTACTAGTCCTGCAAGCCTAAGCCTGGCTTTTCATATCTGTTTCAAGCACCTTAATTGATTGCAAAGTTTTTAAAAATATTAATCTTATTATTTCAATAAAGCTGCCAAGAAGGATAACTTAAAGCCTAAGATTGTTCAGGCAAAAAATGATTTTAAATCATAGAAAATCTAACAAATTTTTTAATTACAAATAAGAGAAATTCATTCATGCTTTGTTGAAATGAGTACTAATGAAAAATTAAGAAAAAATGAAACTTAATTAGCAGCTTTTACAAATGAAATGAGAATTTGATTTGTTAAAACATTTAAAGACATTTCTATCTTACAATACTAAATAGATTTTTAAAAAATTAAATAAAATTTAAAATTAAAACAATGAGTTAAAAACAAAATGCGTATTTACAAGATAATGAATACTGTAAAAAAAAAAATTGCAACCAAGATGGCAAGATAAAATTGGCATAAGCCTTTAAACAATCCAAATAAAGTGTCATGGTTTATTTACAAAAAGGATTGCAGGACTTAGCTTAGCCATTTCTTACACTGTTACTGAACACAAGTCAAGTAGGGATATTGATTTCATGACTTTTTAGATATAGTAAAATGTGAAAAGTGTATGAACAAAACAAGCATTTGTGCAAACAAAAAAAGATATGTCATTTGATGTCAATTGCACACAAAAAATTAACAAAAACTATAAAAAAAAATAGTACTTGGTATGGCAATAAGAAAAAAACATGATTATTGTACAAAATCAATGAGATATACAAATAAAATTTCAAAAATGTCTTTTGACATATAAAATAAAATTTAAAAACATGTTTTAAGATGATTTGACT